GCGCTTATGTATTTTTTAAATTATTTGGTAACAGAATTAACTACTTACGTGGAATCTTGTTTTAAATTTAAAATTCTTAGATATAAAAGTTAAACATTTTAAAAATATTTAGCTACAAAATAATTATACAATTTTAAATTTCATACATTTTGTCAAAATTCGATCTCTAAATGCTTATAAAAAAAAAATTGTGCATATGTATTTTCAATGTTTTTCAACTAATATTGTAACAATATATCAGGAGTCTTGTATTAAATTTTTACACTTTTTGGCCCAACAGATAAAACTTAATTGATATTTATAGAAAAAAAGGTGGGCAAGTGGGTGTCGCTCTGCTGTACAGTAAGTTACAAGTGAGTCACTGTATAATGGATGATATTAAATTTGAATTCAAAGATATAATATCATTGTATAAGAAAAACGATTCTGAGCGGAGAAGGTATGTCAGTCTAGGTATAAGAAATATTATATACATATCTATGGTACTAAACCAAAAATTGACCTATAATCAGGGGCGGACTGGGCCGGCGGGATACCGGGAACTTTCCCGGTGGGCCGCTACTCAAAAATAATTAGTTACCTATTATTATTTATTTATAACAAAATCAGTAGGTATAAATATAAATTATAAATATTTTGTATTTTCATATCATAACTGTTGAGTGTGCAAAATGTTTATATTATATTTGGTGTTAAAGATTTTAGATTTCGGTTCAGCTGGTTGACCAGCCCCTCGGCATCAATGCATAAACAGAAATTATTATTTATAACTACTAGGGTGTGAATTTGAAGATAAATTGCATTTTTTTCTGGATTCTCTTAAACATTGCTTTCCAATCAAAAAATGTATTTCATACATAAATAATTTAAAAATTAAATTTTTATTTAGCATTTTTTTAACTTTACTGATTTATAGAACATTTTTTTGACGTTTTTATGACATTTTTATCGTTTGAAGGAATTTTTCGTAAATTTTATAAGTATATATACAATTTTATAAACACTATTAGCTTAAGTTCCTTCAAGAAATTTAATATAATTAAAAATCATTTTTTCTTACTAATATTTCTATTTTATTACGTTTTATTTTATTTTGTTTGCTCCTATGACTTCAGTTATACAAAACAACGATTGCCAATTCTAACTGTCAAAGTTTTTTATTCAAAAATATTGATTAGCTTCTGATTGAAAAGTGATTATAATGAAACACAATATATGACGACTAACGACTAATGACTATACCTATTTAAATTCTATTTTATTTTCATTTAAATTGGCTTTTCATTTTTCTGGGCATTTTACTAAGCTTTGTAATATTGTTACTGTGCATAAAATCGTATTTTTAAGGCATTGTTTTTTTTATTGCATTTATATCCATGCCCTATTTATAACTTAATATGACTTTATTCTACAGTCGATTAATATATCCACTTCTAGCCAGCCAGTATTTACTTAATATAACTAACATTAAATTGTACACAATAAAAAATATAATATAAATATATTGTACCTACATAATAGTAAAATATAAAAGATAATTTGTGATAATTTGATGGGAATTAATAAGCTGATAACTAAAGGTACAGTTATTCGTACGTTCAATGTAACGTCCTTAATTCAAAAAAGTGAATTCTTGAACTTCTTTTTTATTTTATTGTAGTGTACTAGTGTATCGTTTGATGATTTTGTAATATTTACTTATCTATTTGTTGTTTAAAATGGAAACTAAAAGAAAGAGTGGGTTGAGAAAATCAGAGAGAGAGAGAAGGATACTCTTAGAAAAATCAAGTTAAAGTAGTTTAAACGAACCTATTTTTTTCATCCGTTATGGATCACTTATAGAGTAGGTAATAGAAAAAGTGATATATACATAATACTGTGCAGTACATTTAATTAAGATTAAATACTAAATAGGTACATTGAGAATCTTAAGTTGTCTCCTGAGGAAATTAAAAATGAGTAGGTGGAGGATGCAACCATTATTTGTCAAAACTTTGGTACCATATTTAAGTCTTACATTTAGTGATGACGACATTTTAAGGGCCGGTCAAAATATAAATTTCCCGGGCCGAATAGTTGCCCCAGTCCGTCCCTGCCTATAATAGGTACCTATAATAAATTCCAAATTAATCATATCACAATATCCATTAGGTACTTATAACGCGTTATACATCAACAAAAACCGTGATACTATCATAGATATATAATAGTACACTTTAGAAGTTTCAAGTACCCACGAATAATATTATTCAATCACAACAAAATAACTAAAATAGTTATTCTAGGTTTTTTAATATGTAATTTCGTCCAAATTTGAATTTAAAATGTCTGTAACAAATAACTGTGTTCATATATTTTTTAGATTTTTTGGTTACAGTATGAACTATTTATGAGAACCTTTGTTTTAAATTTGCAATCCTTAGCTATAAAAACTGAACATTTTATAATTTATTAATTACAATTTTGATACATTTTGTCAAAATGCGATCTTTAAATGCTTATAAAAAAAAATTGTGACCATGTATTTTTAATATTTTTCAATTGCTATTGTAACAATATATCAGGAGCCTTGTATTACATTTTTACACTTTTTGGCCCAATAGATATAACTTAATTGATATTTATAGAAAAAAAAACTAAAAAAATTGAAAATTGAAAATGTCCGTAAACAGCTCAAAAAGAGTCAAAATATTTTCAAAATTGTATGGTGTATAGGAAATGCTAATTTAAACATTCAGTGAAATTTTCATGTATCTACAGTTATTCGTTTTTGAATTACAACAAAATAAGGAAATCGCTACATGAGAAATCGAGTGAATATCCAATGTTGTAAAAATTTGAATTTCAAACGCTCATAAAAATTTAATTTGACTTTCTTATAAACATTTTTTTTTTTGTTAAAGGTAGATAATCTTATAAGGAATCTTGTATTACATTTTCAAATCTTAGATTTAAAAAGAAAAATTTTTACGAATTCTGAATTCAAAATAGTTTGCTAATTTTCGTGATTTTTCCATATTTTGTCAATTTTTGAACTTTAAATGCTTATAAAAAAAAACTGTGACTAACGATTTTTAATATTTTTCATTTACCTTTGAAACAATACACTAGGAGCCTTCTATTAAATTTTCAATTTTTTTTTACCAACAACTAAAATTTTATTGATATTTCTAGAAAAAAAACTTAAAAAAATGAAAAATGAAAATGTCCATAAACTGTTCAAAATAAATCAAAATATTTTGAAAATGTTATCGTGTATAGAAAATGCAAATATAAACAACCAGTGAAAATTTCATGTATCTAGTGTCATTTGTTTTAAAGTTACACTAAAAACCAAATTCTATTTTCTGAAAAATCGATTTTGCGTAAAAATTCTCGTTTTTTCTTAATTTTTATTTTATTTTTCTTGACGCTTTTGAAAAGTACTGGGAATTTTAAATTTTGACCTCCCAAATGCACCAACGATATTCACTTTCCAATCGAACAAGATACTGAAGTCGAAAATCGAAGCATTATTTCGACTACTTATCGTGTACACAGACACAAAAATAAAAAATAAAAAAATAAAAAATAAAAAAACACGCATCATTGTAAAATCAATACATTCATCGTTTCACTCAGAATCTAAAAAACTGGCAGTTTAAACACCAGGCAAAATTTAGCTGAATGAAGGCTAGAATGCGTGAAGCTGCGAAGTGACCAGCGCGGCGAGGCCACCGGGCTGTGGTCTAGCCCGATGACCGTATCCGAAAATTTAAAACAAAGATTTTTATAAACAATTCATACTGTAACCAAAAAATCTAAAAAATATATGAACACAGTCATTTTAGACAGACATTTTAAATTCAATTTTGTATGAAATTACATACCTACTAAAACCAATCATCTTCATTCCTGAATGCATGATTCGCAGCATTATTAGGTATTTCTTAGTACTTACCTATGTTTTTCTCTACTCTCTTAATCTTCTATTAGTTCTATTACATTCCGAATGCGAATGCGACCAAAGATATGAACCCAATATTTCATGTCCTTTTTAAGCATGTCATTAATAATACAATTATAAGTAATAAGTACACGTGCTTGTAAAGAAAAATGAATCGGTCTAAAGTTGGTGCTTTTGGGGATCAAAAATAGGAAATCCCTCACTTTTCAGTTTTCATTAAATAAATGTTATACAGTCTTTGTTAGGTAGGCACGTAAACGTTTGTTTAAATTTTATACTCTAGGTTTGAACGTATGAAATCCAAATACATCCAGCACACAAAACCCAAATAAATGATTCGGGTGCTAAAGCTTGGTTAGTAAACAAAAAAAAACAATAGGTACCTGTTATAAATTTACATTTTTGTGATAAGACACTGGTCTGTAAAATTAGTACATATAATAATATAATAACGCTTAAGTGGGTTTTTCCCCTTAAGGTAAATATTTTAACATACACATTATATACTATATAGACGTCTTTAGAACGTAATAAAAATTTGCTAAGGTAAAAATTGATTTATCAAAATGCAATGAATGATTTAGGTTCCTAATAACTAATAAGTAATAAGTATCGTCTATAATTATACACATATGTAAATATTTTTAAATTTCTTATTTTATTTAATTTCATCATTGGGATAATTAGGGTAACCAACTAAAGTATTGTTTTAGTATAAATTAAAAATTATTTTCAGTTGGGGAATTGAAAAAATTAAAATATAGGTTCCGAAGCAACACTAACTTTGGTTTATTAATTGATTGTTACGCCTTATACCCATTGAGCTACATACCGTTTTCGGCTAAAATACGGTTCGGATGAAATATTTTTCTACTAAAATACGGTTTGGATAATACATTGACCCATATGTCTATGGATGACCCACATGGACGACGTGCCCACTTGCAACGTCGTTTAATCGTGATAAACCACAAAAAAAAATAGTAGGCTTATAAGCATATTGGTATAATTACCTAGGTATCGGTATGTAAATAATATCTAATATCACTATAACTCACAAATATTTGTTTATAAAAAATTGTCTCACAAGTGAAAGACTACACTCTTTTTGCTCATATGATTCTATCCCTCTTGTATGTTCGTTCTTTACAGTCTCATTATGGTTTTCATGTTTACACTCTGCCCACAGGATATCATAGTCTGATATTCTTTCTACAGCCCATTCTAACCGTTTCTTGATCATGGGTTTTATCATTTCTAGCCATTCTTCGCTCATTGAAGCATATTCAGTTTTTTGTTCCATAGTGTTCTCAATTGCGAATATTTCATCATCTGAAAGTCAGAAATCATCTAGTTACTTAGCTATATAAAATAGTATACAGTATAGGTACTACTGAAACAGAAAGACATGACAAAAAAAAATGATGCTACTAAAACCTATGACAAAAATTGTTAAAATGTTATGATTAAGAAATAATTTAAGAAATATACTCATGTCAGCACATTCCCAAAAAAATTATCTTAATAATTCATAGTTATCAACTACCTATATTGTTTTATAGGTACGAGGTACCTGCCTATCTAAATTGTTTCAATATAGGTATCCAGATGGTTGCAGGTACATTATTAAATTGATTGTAATAGTATAAAATGTACCTATATTACCTACGGTACTTATGGGGTTAGGTCAAACTACTTAACATTTTCTATTTTCCCTTATATAGGTTACACGTATAACACGTAGGTATAACACGTATAACACCTTCTTTTTCATTTTTTAACCAACGGCGCTCGCGCCGTGGATACTGATTTCGAAATTATTCCACGACGACCGAGGTTATCCTATCTAGTAGCCAGTATAGGTACCTACCTCATAAAGAAAAATTGGTGATTTATCCTGTGGATATAATAATGATTACTTATGAAAGTGTAAGCAACTTATTTCGAGTGTTACTAGTTACATAGCAAATGTTATTTCAGATGCGTATGTAGGTATTATAATTTACAAAGTTTTTAAAAAGGTATATATAGGTATATAACAATATAACATACTTTCTAAGACTAAATAGTAAATATGGACTGAAATTAGAGTTATCTGTGATGGTCAAATATATAACTTGTTAACAAAGTATAAATAGATACCTACAAAATACTTTATTAAACAAGTAAAAATTACAAAATGTTTGTTATGATTTATGAATAAGGTAGGTATGTGCGACGTATATCTACAACATTTTACTGAGCATTGAGCAATACTTTTATTATTATTAATTCATTTTTAATTATTGATGTATTATAATTTATAACATTATACGAGTTCGAAGATTAATTTATACCTTCAGGAGGCTAAGCCCCCTCCCCCTTCCATAGTTGCGCTTATGGTAGGTACCTATTCGGGCTACACGGCTACATCTACACGACAACATATTATTATACATACATATCTAAAATAAAGCATATTCCAATATCAATTGATATAATCTTATACATAAAATATTATATTACATTTTTTAGGGAGGTTTCGAAATAATTAAACAGAAAAAAATAAAGCATACAATATTAACAAACTATTATATAACCACAAAAAAGTCATATGTATAATGAAATAAAATTAGAATATTTTAAATTTAATAAGATAACCTGAATATTTCACTGATTTCGGTTTATGTTCAACAAAGTTGCTACACAGTTCTTGACAGACTTCATAATGATCAGGTTCGTAAGTACTCAATATCAAATCAATACAATCCATTGTTATATACATAGTTTTATGTGCGTTTAATTCATGTTGAGTCATTTGACTATGTTCAAAAAAAATTTCCTTTTTTAACAATGTTACAGCTGTTTGACTAATTAAATCCAAGCATTTTTCTTTGAGCGATTGTTTTAGTTGCATACACTGGTATAGAAGTTCTTCAATATCCTTAGTGTCCTCTGTTTGTAATATATGGTAAAGATATTTCATCTTTTCATCATGGTAATGATATTTTTTAATGAAAGAAGAATTGTTTTCCAAAAATACATTTTCACGATCTTTGTTGATTGGTTTACCATATAATCCATTTACTCTTTCAGATAATATAGTATTTTGCAGCTGAAAGTTTTAAAAACTTATTAATTTCAAAAAATGTGTGATGTCTCACAACTAACAAGTCCCATAACTATGTCGTTAACACTATTAATTATTATAAGTATTAACCGAACCTTTAATGTTTAAAGAACATCAGAAAAACCGATGAGAGATATAATACATTAGGTAGTCTTTATCTACTGTTGATCTCAGACAAACGTTAAAAGAAGACAGCGGTAAATAATATGAAGATAGATACATATTTTGCAGATATTAGAAAAGTGTGTAGGTACCTATCTACGTACACATCAGAAGTGTGTAAGCATGTCTTTAAGACTTTAAGTCTTCAACTGACTATTGATCTTAATATGAAAGTAAAATATGTATGAGAAAACTGGCAACCATAATATTTAGAATACATTTGGTGACAGATCTACTTCTGAAAATAGCTATGTTCATATTACGGTACCTATATTTCTGTTTTACCGGATAGTCTTTTTTCATTTTTTTGTTTTGACGTACGTAGTTAAGGATACTGAAAACTATGGTAAAGTCAGAATTCGGCGATCAAACTTGGTTTTGAAGTTAAAGCTATTTGAAGTCCATGACCTATTCAAGGTGGTTATTTACATAACAATTCAAGGGATGTTTTGATTTTAATTGTCCTAGGAGCGAGTGACTACGCCTGGTGTATATCGTATATGAAAATACTAGGTATACATTTCAATTATTTAGCTGTAACTTTAAAAGTTTAAAACTAAGTCCGACTCTCATATCTAAATTCTGACTTCACCGACGTTTTTAGAATGCTAAACTAAATACGTTAAAATAAAAAAAAAATATGTCTAGTAAAACAGAAAAGTTCTAATATTACCAATAGTTTGGAACTAACGTCCGAACACATGGCGATTAAATTATTTACCTATTATCTATTTGTTTATCCCGATGTAATGCTACAATTATTGCACCTATCGTAACTACAAAATATCAAACCACATAGGAAATCAACAAAGTAGTTTCATAAAAAAAGACCACTGAATATAAAATTATAAAACATTTAAACATACATATCCACAAATACAGACATAGAGACATACAGATACCTACAGTCGTAAATATAGATCAAGTCATTTACTATCCGATAGAGTTTCTAAGTTCATTAAACCCTTTAGGACAGCCTCCATATGAACTTACATTAAAAATTGGCAACCTGATAATGCTACGTTGGAATTTTCAACAACACCGTCTTTGCAACGGCACAAGACTACAAAGTAAAAAAAATATAAAAAGTGGCGTAGATCTCCGAATCGAAGTGGTCAAGTGAAGTTTTCTCTCATAGTGAATATTGTACGAGGGACTTTCACAATTTCACAGAATGATTCACAAGTAGGTAGATAAAAATAATCAAATTATATTCTTCACCGACGTTCAAAACTATAGGTAGGTACTAGCAATTTCGTTCACAAAAAAAGTTATTAAAAATTAAAAAAAAATATTGAAAAGACTGATGTTTCTCGGGCAATACATAATGGTAGCCGGTAGGTAGGTAGGTACTTACTTTTATTATAGATGACATGTTGTCTACATTGTTAATAGCACAGCCTTGTAGAGGTACATTGATTCTAGCTATATGATCTAATCTTCCCAGAATATTTAATTGGATAAACCACATTTCTCTGTGAGGCCCAGTTTGTGTAGGTCTGAATAAAACTGTTAAACGTTGGATTTGACCAGGACCCAAAATATTGGTCCTAGTGTCAAAAAAAAAACATTCTTTTGATTTTTCTTTTAAAATACAATCATATTTTGTAGTAGTACATTCTTCTTTTATCCATTTATAGTAAATACTTATTTGACCACAGTTTTCTATAATTATCTCATCCCAAGAATCTTCATTTATTTTTACAATATTAATTGGTTTTGATTTTGTTTTTAACTTAAACATCATGCATTTAGTGCTGTCATCAATTGATTTTATTATATAATCATTTACTCTAACGACAATTAGTGCAATATTACAATGGTTATTTTTCTTATGAGCAGACTCAACATAAATTGACGGAATAGTACCTTTATATTCAAGTTTGTGTTTCATAGCTTTTTTAAGAATACTTTCCCCAATAATAGCTAATTTTTTAGGATTTTTAAAAGGTATTAAACTTTTTAAAGTATATAATTCATTATAAATCAACACATTATTAGGTGTTTGCAAATCAAAGCGAGCATCTTTCCTAATGCCCAATAATCCTTTTTCAGTACGTATTACATCTGGTGTATATACACTAGTAAATTTTTTTATTTCTCTATCGACAGAATAAGGAAAATCTGTATGATATTCATTATTGACTTTTAACTTGTGTGCTACATCAACCATCCATTTACATTCAACTTTTGATCTGAATTTATCAGATTCATTCATTAACAATGACGTAGGTCTACGACATACCTGTAAAATTTATTTTTTAAATTCATATTTTATAATACAGTCAAATATTTACCGTTAAACCAAGGTGTTTATGCTGTTGTTTTCTTATTTTAAGCCATCTATTCCAATTGTTTAGACGTTTACTCTCAACCACATCTCCACACAACATAATTTCATCAGCTGTTTCTACGGGTATATACTCCCATTCAATATCTTGATTACAAGACATATTTATTTTACAAATATCACATTTAAGTTAAATTTCGCATTTTATTAAATGAATAAAACTAAACAAAAACATTTCTAAGACAACCAAATTCTATAAAATATTTTTTTTAAATTAAATTTACAGTCTGTATTTAGTGGCCCAACGAGTATATTTTTTTACCAATTCACCCTCAGACTAGATCCCTATACTCTAACATCTTTATTTATGGCACCCAATTTTCAAATGCTCTAAATTTTAAATATCTTGGGCTAACCCTAGATAAAAGGCTGACATGGGCCTAGCATATTATATCCAAAAGAGTAAACTTAAATCAGCTACGGTTAAGCCTACTAAAAAACTCTTATAAATAATAACAAACATACACACGTTTCAATACTAAACTATCAAAAATGAAAAATAAAAATATTCATGTCTATAAACACTCCGACACATTAAATTATAATTAAATTAAAAAATATTAATAATATTTCAAATTTTGTTTTATATATTATTCATGGCTGATGTAATTATTGCCTTAATATTTTAAATCCATAGAAAAACACTATAAGTAGGTATGATGACTAATAACCACAAAGAGTTCAGGTAAAGCCAAACTTTAAATTGACTATTACATTTGGAAAATTGGAAAAATGAATAATTTGTGTTGAGTGATCATGTATAATAATCTAGCAATGGTAATAATCCATCAAAAGCAAACAGTATCATGAGGAAATTGAACAAAACTCTGCTAACGATTAATTTCTATTAAAATAAGTCATTAAAAAATATTGTTATTCCCATTTTCTTTGCTAGATTGAGAATGGTCACTAACCACTAACCTTATTTTTACTCTATAGCAAACTGCCGCTTACTTCACATCTTCTACGGCCTACGCCTTACAGTGTTAAATAACTTACACAGCATAATCATTTGGTCAGTTATCTATCATTAAGAAGTATTTAATACAAAGGGATTTCAAATAATAAGACAATATTAATCGAAAATAAATTAAATAAAACAATTTCAACAATACAAATAAATTATCAAACATTAATGGTTTATTAATTAAAAACATAAGGTAGGAGAATTTTTTTAAAAATATATGGATATTACATACAAATTTAATAATAACAACCTTGTAATTTATTGATAAAATTAATTTTTTAAAACCCATCAAATACCAATCATTTTTTTTGAAAGAAATAATGTACTGTGACAGAAAATTAAAAGTTAAATAAATACAATATTTATATTACTTATTATTATACTTGTAGTATTTTTTATTAATGATCACTAATCTATTTTGAACGACTAGAGGACTATTTTTAAAATGTTTATGATAATTATAATTTAATATTAATAATATAGTAAAATTATACAAATTAACATAGTAGTTTAAAATTGAAAATATTTCATGTTTCCTAATCATCAATTGCAATTTATAATAATAATTATGTACAACAATAAATTATTTTAATTTTAAAATTTGAGATTTATGTGAAATTTGAATAATAATATATTTCAAACTTCATAAATATAGTTTTTTTAAATTTAGCTGGATTGAAAAAAAATGTCATAATCTGCTTTTAATAATTGAATAACACAAAATATTTAAGAATAAGAAAAGCTTAGCAGCCCTCAATCAACATTCAACACACATCACATGAATTTAAATTAACAAGCTAAGGAATTCCAAATTTTCTTTGGCTCAGCTCAAATCGATTAAAGTTTATTCACGATGAACAAGTACATAAAGTCCAAGACATGCTAAGACAGCAAACTGAAAAATAAAAACTTAATTAAGTGATATATAAATTATATAATGTTAAAAAATAAATAAACAATGATATGCATTTATTACATTTATTAATTCTTTATAATATGCCTATATTTTAATTATCCTTAATCAGATGATTATAATATAGTGATCAATTTAGTAAGAAATACTCAGTCCAGTCACTAACAGAACGCCACCAGACGGTGACCAAAATTTGTTGTAGACTGCTCATTTCCTACTTTCAGGCGATTGGCCACAACTTCGTCAAGCGACGGCGTGTGATGGTTCACACCGACCTACTTAGTGGGTGAAATTAGATCTCAAGACGGTAGAGCGCGTTAATTTGGATGCGGGGCCAAGTAGCGTTCTCTCGGTGAACGAACTATAGTTATTTGATTTACCAGTAACAAAATCCAATATTTTTCATACTTGAGATCTTCAAGATGATTAAAAAATAATGGAAAAAATTGGTAATTTACACAATTCTCAACACCACATTTGACAAAATAAATATTGTTAAAATGGTACTCGTCTAATATGATACCTACCGCTACTTCGTTGTGTGGAGTATGCTACCTACCGTATAACTATACCTACCAAAAAAACGTTTACTGATTAATGATTAATAACAAATTGACAACAATATTAATAACAGTTTATTACTAAATAATTTATTAATTTATTGTTGTCAAGTACTTTATAATATTATTTCTATATGTCATTATATATTATACACTGTATATTATTTTTATATCATCGATCATCCCAGAAAACTTCTAATAAGTTGTGTTGCATATTAATGGGCCGCCACCATTCTTCTTTTAATTGTTGGTCTAACAAACCTGTTGCTCCTCGGGTTTTAATTCCGGATTTAGTTTTGACATGTCTCTACACTCGATCGTTTGTGCGGGTGCGCATGTTATAGGATCAACAAAAAACTCGGAATGATTGATGGTTTCATGATGATAGTCTATATCTTTTAAGGTACTGTATGCTCGCTATTGATCTGAATAAATAATTGATCCTAGTTCTATTTCATTTTGTATTATTGGTAATAAAGTTGCCTTATCTCTTTTTTCCACCTTAAAAAATCTTCTTTCTAGAACCCCATCAACATTTTTATAACACATACCAAAAATCCATGGACCTTGAATGCGAGTACTGTAATTTTTTTTAGTTGAATAATCATCATCAATATCGTCAGCATCACATAAAAATTAAAACTCGCAACGAATAGGACAGATACCCGAACACAACACAAACACAACATAGACTAAAATAATATATCTAAAAGTAAGTTATCATGGGACTGGGTGGATCAGTAAATTTATCATAATGGCTATTATAAGCTATAATTTTGTTCAACTGTTATAAATGTTATTTATCGTAATGACTCAAATGTACTTTCCCGCACTATAATGAAATGAAATAAAAATAACTACGGTAGGTAGCATACTACACGCGTACAGTTTTTTGGTAGATACCATTTTACGGTAGGTAGCATATTAGACGAGTACCGTTGAAACATTCACAAAATATTTGTATTAACATTTTCTAAACATGATACAATTTAGAACATTTTTTGTAGCACTTAAAAACTTATAAAATGTGTAGTTTAATTTTATTAGGTAAGGCTTGAAATTGAATACAATTTTCCTCATAAGTTGTTCTTACAGCATTCTAATAATATCAAAATTACATGGGCACAATTTTTTTTTAGATATTTGAAGTTTAAATGTTGACAAAATTATATATTTAAATGAAAAAGAAACAACTTTTTCTACAACAATTTAAGTAATTTTATTGTCATTTAATAAAAATTGAATGTAGTGATTTTAAACTTTTAGCAGTAACATATTATATTATTATTTTTTATTTGAAATTAAATTTTCAAAATAATTAATCTAATTTTAAGCTATTTACGTAATGCACTTATTCATACCATTACTTAGTAGGTGCATAATTACTCAGTAATGACATATAAGTTAATAATATATGCAAATCTTTAGGCTAAAATGAATTTAACCAACCATATTATTAACAGTAAAATAATTAATTATCTATTAATGAAAATATAAAATATCGTACTCGAATTGGTTTTCAATGATTTATCAATAAATTCAAATTTAACAAAACTACTGCAGGGATTTACTTAATACCGAGGTATACTCAAAACCTATTATATAGTAAAGAACTTTCCTAGTTTTTTTTTTAACAATATCATCATATAGAAAATTATGAATTCAAGCATGTTTAATAGAATTGATAAAATACCACTAAATTTGTAATTAATTTTTATAAAATAAAACCCAATACATACTTTGACTTTAGGATACTCGTTCATTAAAATTGTAACCATTCCAACATATGGTAAAAATCCTCTAGCTCTGCCTACCATATCGGATTTTTCTAGCCACTGTTGGCCAGGAGCATACAATCCTCTATCATCTACACTATTGTTGTCACCTTTGGTCAAAAACTTAATTGTGCCATTATTTCTAGAAAAAAAAAAAACATTGATATAGCTATATATTTTTAAATAATAATTTTTAAATTAAACCAACTTCTCGTGTAGTTTTAAAACCCTGTGCACAATAGGAATATCACGTCCTTCAATTTTAAATACAACTATTTCACCAACTCTGACTGGTTCTTCTTCATAGTTTGTTAGGAACAATAGATCACCTCGATGAAAGGCTGGTTCCATACTACCACTGTAAAATATTAATTATGTTTAAATACTAGGTTTTTAAATTCCTGTAACTAAAAACAATATTTAAAATCTTTAATAAAGTAACTAATTTTTAAGATAGTATATAATAAAAATCTTAAATGTTTGAAAAAAGTATGTTTATTTTACCTTAAAACAACAACAATTGGACTCTCGCTACCAGTAAAAACCATCAAACCTTTCCATATCATTAATGCAGATGAAACGATCATTCCAAAGCTCAATACTTGATAGAGAAACTAAAATCATGAGATATTTAAAATAAATAATATACCAAACAATATTGAAGAAGCTATGCTGTATTGTGAAAATAATATAACATATTTTTTTCCATTACTTGTCGTTTATTCATGCGTTTCAAATCATCTAGGAATCCGTCAAACATCGTGACTATTGGTAAGGAAACTTAAAATACAAAATAATACAATTTCAAAAGTGGAAAAGAATTCTGTTTAGTGTATACAGAACGAAGTAACGAACAGACAATTTATTTAAAATAAAAATTGAACACCGCGTAACCACGTCATTCTTAGATTATTTACTAGCTAGAAGTTAGCTACGAAATTGTACCGAACGTTATCTCGGACATATCGTTATCTCGTTTCAATGTTCTTGATGTTCAAGTAGTAGATATACAACTGTTACAGTGGTTCTCACTTTCACAGCCCGCGTTCGGGGAGTCGGAATCAGACGTATGCACGTGGGCTGCTTGTTATATTTCACTAAGTTCCTCTCATAGTTGCATTCCATAAATCGTAATATTGTTGACATTTTGACAATAATAACTTTCTTATACTCTGTTAGGTAAGTTGAGTCCAACATGCTTGGACGCAACCACAATTTAAGATATTATGTGTACTGACGTACAACTGTGTACAAACTACAAACAAAATACGGTGGTAGTCTTGTATTTTTTTTAATATTGATACTGGACATTCATAATTTTTTCGTTTAAATTATAAAAACCCTTTATTCTCGTTGTTACTGCTTTTACAAAAATATACAATTTTTCTTAATAATATAATAGTTAATAGACAATATTCACAGCTAAAATTGTTTTACTCTCAAAATATTTGGTTGGACTTACCCTGGACTTCCATGTAGTTACTGTCTAGTGTCTAGACCATTGAGTAATATTACTCTGTGGTCTAGACCAGGGGTCTCCAAACTACGGCCCGAAATTGAACTCAATATACAATATTATAGCAGTGTTTAGAACTTTAGAAGGTTCAATAAAACAGTGAACGCGTTCATGGTTAGTTCACGTAAAATGAAACGCGTTCTTTCAAACGCTGCATAATAATATTTATAGTGACCCACTTGACATTTTATATACAGTAGAACCATTGATTATAAATACTAGTAGTACTAGTAGTACTATAGTATTTATAATCAATGGTAGAACGTTACCGGCCGGCGGCCACTTGCGACTAGCCCGCATTTTCAGTGGCGTATTTATGGGGGTTGGTCCATGGGGTCCAGACCCCCCCCCCCCCTTGACTCATGTCTCGTACATGTTAAATGTTGTGTTTTTACATGATTAAGAAAAACAAATTTTATCATACGATACGAAGGATTTTATAAATAATTTTCGAAGCTATGGTTATCAACATTTTCAATGAATATCGTGATTATTTTTATCAGTTTGGTTTTGGTACCGAAAATGGTTGAAAAATACCAAGTTCATTTTTTAATTCAAATATTTTGTAGTTTTGTACATTGCCATTTGCCAGTATCTACAACCACTCCAGAGAGATCTTTTTCAACCTCTTTAAGGTTGAAAAGCTATCTAAGATCAACTATGAATGAAGTAGGTAGGTACCTAATGTATTTTAGGAAATATTTGTATAAAAGTTATAACATAACTATATATTAGATTCTGAGAGGAGTGAGGGATCTATTGGTTTTACAATGGTGTTTATTTTTTTTTTTTCATGTATACAAAATTTCTACCAGAAGGAGTGCTTCGATTTCAACATATTATATAGACATATAGTATCTTATCTTTTAGAAAATTGGATCAAGATGGTACTTTAGAGAAGTCATTTTTCGATTTTCTCAATAGTTATTTAATGCCGAAAAATTACGAAAAACCGTTAAAAAAGGAATTTTAATTTCTAACGCTTTGTCTATCACCATAGAAACGAATAAAAAAAAAAAATTATTTCATTATTAATTCAACTTACAGGCTTTAATAAATAATAACAATATAAAATATCCAGACTGACAAACTGTCTCCGCTCAGAATCGTTTTTCTTATACAATGATATTATGATATTATATCATTGAGTTCAAGTTTAATACAATCTATTATACATTGACCCACTTGTAACCTACTGTACAGCAGCAGAGCGACACGTCATCCACTTACCCGTTTTTTTTTAAATTTGTTTTGTACATATAACATATTATTATTTAATAATTAAAAACTCAAACATTTTATATAGTCTTATAAATATGGTATATTTATTTAATAAAGAGTAAATGGGTGGTGTGGGGGGCTTCGCCCCCGTGGCTCTGTGTTCTGAAAATTATCTGGACCCTCCCTATGACAAATTCCTAAATACGCCACTGCGCATTTTAATATATAAAATAATAATTAGTAATAAAATATTATAATTTACAAATTATAAATTGTATATTAAGATAAATTCCGTTTTTAAATTGTTTGATATTATTTATTAACAAAATCCAATAATTGTGACTAAAGTCTAAAGAAATTAAGCAAAGAAAAAAATTAACATTTATTTTATATTTTTCAGTTTTTATAGTCTATACCTAGCAATATAATTTCAGTTGTCTCGTAGTTATAAAGCTTTCGCGCCGGGCCCCATGCATGACCGTAATACGTTTATTAAAATATATTATGTCGTATGAATTCAATAATTATTTAGAGAAATTAATTTTATTTCTGTTTTTTTGTGTAATATGTTATGACTCGGTACGAATTAGTTATGAATTATGATTAATGTTTAGACTTAGACTATACCTAAATACTAATATGAAGAAAAAACGATGTCGTCCTCGTCCAGTAACCTATCTACTTAGTTATTAAAGATAAACCTATGTTTACTAGGTTTCACTATGTGACAACAATTGTGTCGTATATAGGTACCTTTTAAAATAACCAATGACATTGCCAAACTATAACGATAATATTCAAATCATCAACTACTATAATACCGTCTACAAGTTATTAAAATGAAATATTTCTTACCTGATAGTTCATAAATGATGTTGTTGTTCTGCCTATTGGATGGAAAATAAACGCCGTTCAAAACTGTTGCCTCATTTTTAATTTGAATTAAATAACATTTCATATTTGTATTTAAAATAAAAATAAACAATGGATAATGGGTATAATATACATGATATAATATTATTATGTTCTTCCGTCATCAAATATATGTATAATAATATGTGCTGCGCGACGCTCGTATAGCCATAACCCGTAAGCCCGTATAGTGATTTAAACGGAACGATACGAAAATTTAATAAGCCGATAACAAAAATAAATTAATGTGAATTAATTTTCAGCAGAAGCATTGTGTATTATCGAGTGTGTAGAATTCCGTCATAATATTATTATTATTATAAGATACATTTTTGTCTGATTTTAATATTTAATATTTTATTTTTATAAATAAATAATAATGCAGGGCAAAATTATATATTACGGCCGACAGGCCAGTCCGCGATCGCTGACCAGCGGACCGGGCCAGTCCGCCCCTGGGTTATACAAAATCTTAATAATTCGTGTTTAGAATAATAAATATATAAGTGGATAATCGGTTACCTGTTTAAAAATAAACAGGTTTGATTAGCTGATACTCGAAAATTTAAAATGTTTAATTACGTTTTGTCTCACACGGATTCACAAACGTGTACAAGTTATATAGATACATAATGTACTAAATACAAATTCAAACCATCGAGGCAGTGGTGTAATTATTGATACTTATTATTATAAGTAGTAAAATGATAGTAAATTAGTGAACAATATAATATTATAATGAATATATAGGTAATGCGGTGAATATTTCGATTAAAATGTCACACAGAAGAAACAGCTGAAGTGGCTGTGACTATTATACGGCAGTATAAGCACTTAAAGAAAGACCTTAAATTGCATACACATAGCGCCGTCCTAAATATTTTATATACGGTAAAAAGGACGAACGTCGTTAAACCTATATAGTTCATAAAATATTATCAATAACTTCTCTTAACTGTTCGAAGTTCTAACTTTGACCTTTGAAGTAATATTTTTTATGTTTTCAGAGATTAACGAGTCATCTCCTTCTGCCAACATGACTCAATAATAGAAATGGCTATGGGAATCTACTATCTATGCATAAATTATATTATATACTTAGTCAGATTTTTATGTTTGTTTACAGGTAAGTAAAATATGGACAGCCATGTGTACATACTACTACGTTATTATGTTCTTAAAATATCACAATTTTGTCATAATTGTTAACATTTAGTACAAATTAAAATTGGCTATACCTTCAGAGTTTAGAACTTATTATACATAAAGTAAAAACCAATAATGTAAGTTCAATTTCAAATATTAAAATCATCTAAAGATTCCCGTGCGCCATCAAATATATTTTCGGAAAAAGGAGGTATTATGAAAATAACGCGCAATAGTGATGATATTTTCTACACATCTATTCATATCAATTCGTCAATACTATAATAGGGAGGACAAGGTTATTAAATAACCTGAATTTTATAACAAAATAAACATTTATCAATTATTACACTGCACTTTAAACCTAAAGCACAACTTTACGCTAATATACCAATTTATACTATTTAACTATTATATTATCGTCTAAAAATAAATTAAATGGCTTACGAATTATAAAAATAGTGTATGCAGGTTTGCAATGAACTGAAAATGTTCAGTTTTCGTGCTATACAGAGTAATACGCTATTTTATATTATTATACTGCACCACTAATTAATTGCACAATTACTCGGTCACTTAATGCGTAGCTTATAAATTATAATATTATACTGTCAAATAAATAATAAATAATAATTTTATTATATATATTATACATATATATTTAATAAATAATAACAAAACAATTTGTATAATAATATTATATAATTATGCACTAGGTACTAACGTTTTTATTATGCGGTTTTTTTTTTAAGTATTTAATTTATCAAATATGGCGATAATAGTTGGTTTGATTCTGCAACGTGTCTATTGTGTGCTAAAATGTGTACGTGGCAAACCAAAATTTTTCAATTACACGAAAATATAATGAAAACGTCAAATTTACGTAAATTATAAGTATAAATAAATAATAATATACTTCCGAACATATTTTAAAAAGTCCGTACGGTGAATCTACGACGTCACAC